CATGTAAATACATTTTAGGAAATCAGCTTATTTCTGACCTGACCGACCAATTGTTGGAACGTCATTGGATTTTTCACTTTGAGACATAATATTATCTACGGTCACTATTCACTGTGCACATAGTAGCTATGTGGTTAGAGAGACAGTAGCATTCAGTTAATTTTAAACATCAGCTACCTCGATAAATGTTTAAGTGAAAGTTAGGAGATGGGATTGTTAAAAAAAAGAGATGCTATCAAAAAAATCAGTTTGTTTGATATACAGACTTTTCTCAACAAAAAAACTGCAACAGCCATCCATCCATTTGTCCGTCCGTTCGTCCATCCACCCATTCATTCATCCATTTTTTCACGCGGAATGTAAATTAATGGGTAAAAAGAATTGGCATGATTTAATGCTGTTGGCATCGGTATCGGCTGTTAGTAATTTTTTTATATATTAATGTTTTTTAACCTTTAATAAATATTGCACTAATAGGTATATGTCTAACTGTCTATAAATACAAACATCACTGTATTTTCGTTCTCTTGCATGGACAACTAAAGAAAAGCATTCAATAAATATATTTTTGGGCTAATTTTTAAAAAATATAAAAAACTAAAGAGAGTGTTCGGGCTGCGGAACTGTATGTCCATCAGCCACCACGCTTAGTGCCCTCACCAACTTTCATCACAATGTTAAACCCTTGGATGGACACATCTATCTGTTTCAGTTTGGGAAAAAGAACAGTTAATCAGAACAAGACTATTATAATTTTTTTATGTACATTATTTAAAAAAAGCAAAACACATTGGTTCATTCAAATTGTTATGAAATCCATAATTCATAATTAATACAGGATTACATTTATCCATGCCTCTCTGTACCGTGCAGTCAGCTCTGCTTTTGCAGCATTGTTCTTCTTGTGTTGCCTACTGCCTCTGGCTAAATGTTACTTTGACCAAAAGAAATGACATGAAGGTCAGACCTAACACTGCCAGGGAGAACATATGCAGAGACAGGAAGATCTGGAAAAATTGTCTTTGGACACGTGATCCTAAAAATGAAATCTTTGGATGTTGCAAAAGTTGATGTGTTTAACTAAAACTACAACAATCAAGGATTAAAACCTTATTACACCTGCCCTGGATGGAAGTAAACATATCCTGGATTAGGTAGGCCAAGGTGCAGCAGCCTGTTCAAAATCAACCATAAAATTAACCGTTTATTAGAAAATGTTGGAGGGAGATCTAAGACTGAAAAGAATTTAAGCTGCAGCAAAACTGGGCCCTGCCTCATGGCAATGACCTGTAAATGCACCAGGGATTAAATAAGAATTAAGAGATGGAAGGTTCTGGGCAGAGTCGAAACCCAGCTCTCCGAGTTAGTGTGGGGTGAAAATGAAGGAAACTTCTAGAACAACTGTTTCTGACAGTGAAGTGAGGGCAAATGTTTCTCAGACTGTGTCAAACACTATTACATTCCTAGAAGTAGAACCTTAATGAAGTTACTTCAGCTAAAAAGTGGAAAATTTGTTTTAAGGAAGTAGATCAGACTGAAATATGACTTTTTTTTAAAAGAAATGAATAATCAAACATTTTTCCTATTTTTATCTTAACCAAGGAGGTAAACTAGTTTATGTTTTTTTTGTTTTTGTTTGTCCGTCTGTGTACATAATTTGAAAAGTTCTGAACAGATTTATATGAAATTTTTACTTAAATCCTCTGTCCACAAAACAACCCATCAAATTTTGGTGATGATCCACATCATAATCCGGAGGCAGGATTTTTTTAAAGGATTCTTTAAGATTATTTGGCGGAACAAGCAGTTTCTCCCTAAACCAGAGAGTGGCAGCACTGATTATTGACAGCTTCAGCATCGAACTCTAAAAGTCCATAAGTGTTTAACTGAAGACAGAAACACAGGAAATGTGAGCCAAGTCTTGATCTGCTGATTAAAATAAGAAAGCAGAGGGAATCAAGAATATGAGAGCAGAACAAACACCAGAGGCTGCAGACACATGCTGTGTCTTATTTATAAACTTATGAAAGGAGTTTAAGGAAATTGCTACCAAAGGTGCACCTTGTGCATCATGCCCAGGAACAATTCATTAAAATTTGATAATGATCCATATTGTGAGTGAGCTTTAGTCACAATATGGAGCAAAATTTGCTGCACTCTCAGTGGCCCATTTTTTGTAACATGATATATCTTGTGAAGGGTACTCCTGAAGCAAGTTTTAATAAATATAGTAAGCTATGGAACTAATCTAAAAATGGATCTAGAAAATTGCATCTTAATGTGCAGAAAAATACTATCTAATCTCTGCAGCATTCTGGTCTGAGGTGTCATTTTGCTTAGAGAAAACAGGTCAGCTTTGATGCAGCTAATCCTGCAGGTAGACCTTTAGAAGCCATCTACAGGAGACTGGCAGGTGCATAAGTATGAGAGACAGATCGATGGACAGGGACAGAGTCAGATTTAGTTTGTTCTGGCTGCTTTTCAGGGAGTTGACAGCAAGAGATGAAGATAAATACATGCCTTGAGAGACAGACAATCAATGGAAAGACATTCCCTAAGAGACATGGGGGAGTAACAGATCCTGAGCTCCACCTGGGCGGATAAAAGCTAAATTTCTGCATGCCCCAAGCCTCTGAAGATCTTTCCTCACCTGTCAAGCCCAGGTCTCACACACATTGTCCAATGTCCAATGTACACAGCTAATCTTGCATGTCACACATCATAATGCATGGTGTCACATTTCCAGCACATGCATGCAGACACACCCCATCCATGCTCAGCGCTCTCACCATCCGCCGGTCGCCTAGCAACAGCGCACATCCACCGATTGTTTACAAAGCCTTGTAATATAGTTTGTCGGGGTGGGGAGGGTGAGACACAGACAGATGACACAATCTCCTCAGATGTAGCGATAAAGAGGAATAAAAGAGGCAAGGGGGGGGGGGGTTCTGTCCATTTGTGGCGAAGTGGGCAGTAATGCACCGAGGCTATTGCTCCCATGTGAGTGACGAGCTTTGAAGGATGAAAGGAATGTTTTGTGATTTAATACTGGGTTGCTGTAGCACACACCTTTTTTTTCTTGATCTCTTGTGTTGAATAGGAATAGATGACACATATTTAGCTTTTCATTGATTAATCCCAGGACCAAAAAAGACAATAAACCCTCTGTTTCTTTTAGATGTATTTGGAAGTGAAATTGCTGTGGAGGGGCTCTATTGTTCCAGCGTGTAGAAGTTTACATGCAATCATCCTGGAGGCTAATTTATTTAGAGCTTTTCTTTGGGTTATTTAGTTTGTTCTATTTCCAGGTGGACCTTTTTTACAATAGAAGAGTTAAGAGAGTAATGAAGAACAACTGAATGGCGAAATTTTAATTAACCTAATATCCAGATAAAGGTTCAAATATATATTGTTTGATATTTGGTTAGATGATTAGCATAATTGGTCGAGATTTTTGGTAACTTGATTTAACAGAGATGGCCTTTTCAGTATACTACAGGCCAGGGGTTTCCAAAAGATTAAGGTTAACCTGCTTCATCTCATGTATATTTGGCATCGTTGTATTGAACACGCCGTGGTGTAATAGTTTTAGCCATCTGACCCATATCTGCCACTCGGATGATAAGAAATGACAATAATAATCAGGAGGAAGTTTAGTTGAAACACCACCATCCATTAACATGGATTAAGCCTATGGCTTAAATTCTGATGTGATTATGTTAGAAAATGTTTTTCTACTGTCAGTATGATACAAAATTAAATAGAAAATGTTAAACTGTTACAATTTCTGTAAAATTATATATGACGCTGTGGGAGGTATTTGGAGAATTGCAGATTTACTGATCCAAAACGTGCCAACTGAGGCAAAAAATCCAAAGATAGGAAACCTAAACAGAACCAAAACCATGACAATTCCAGTTCCAAGTATGCTGATCACTACAATAAATACAGCATTTTTTGTTTAAGCAATGCTTTTTAACCATTATGCATTTGAGGTTGCAGATCAATAGAGCAAAATTACTTGTATGCATAGTCCCAGGGGCTACTTTGGCTGCATTCACATAAAATCAAACTGTATTTCTGTATGTAGTTTTTTATTAATCTCATTTACTTGGTATATTTCATCATCTATCTTAAAATGTTTTTAATCACATGTGGAATAATAAGAATATATACAAAGCACTTTTAAATTCCTTTCAGAATATAGTACTCATTTGTATTCCATTACTGCCTTATCTGCAGTGCTTTAAATGGGCCAACATAAAGCGGTACACCGTACCATTGCTATCTATTTTTACCCATTAGCGTATCAGGACTTTCTTCGTATGTGCACTGCATACTGGGACTACTATACAAAAATTCCCCCCGACCCAACAGAGTTTGTCCTGACATTGTCAAATTTTACAACTTGTAGTCTATTTGTTATTTTAAAATATGCATTAAATGCAAACAATTGCCTTGATGCAAAAAGCTTGGTACATTCATGTGGGTGGCTGATGAGTCAGGGAAACCAGAGGGAAAGTGATGTTCATCTGGCTCCAAAAGGATTCAAATTAACTTGGGTGGAGATGAATTATAACAGCAGCTTTCTGAACAGTCCTTCACTGAACAAGGAAACAGATTTCAGACTCTGCAAGCTAAAATTGATGCATCTAACGTGGAAGCTTGATGAAGAAAAGAGGCCTGTGACATATTTTGACACAAAAGGCGAGATTGAACAGCTGCTCATTTTATGTTTAAAAGAATTACATATCTTTGCACCTATAGTTGTCGGATAATTGAGTACAGATACTGTACAATAGGAACTTGAATTTGTCAGAAAATGTCACAATAAATTCAAACTTGTGCTCCCAATTATTATTTTTCAAATTCATAGAAGTTGGTTTATTATATCACCAGTCAATCTTATAAAGTAACTTAAGTTAGAGTTCACTTATTCTATTTTTCAAACCAGTGCAAACTTTATGCAAATTTCCCCCATGACTTGTATTCATACTTACATCACTGTGTTGATTCCCGAGAGCTGCTGGAACATCTGAAGGCCGCATCCCACCACTAGAGCTCTCCGAGTCGGGGGGTAGGTCAGCATCCTCCAGATCACAGGGCCGTCTGGAGACATGAGTCAAAACACAGCAGAAATTAATTACCGCCTCAGCATGACCCCCTTGCCCCCTCAACAAAATAAACAAAAAACCTCCAATACAGATTTTTTTTCAATAATACTTCCCCTCAGACAAAGAGAAAAACTGCTGCATTAGGGAAACTCGAGGAGTAGTGATCTCAGGGAAAAAAAGAACTGTCAGAAAAAATACTTTTTATTTACAATCAATGTGCATATAAAAAAAAATGGATAGACTTTCTTTCAGTTCAAATTCTGTCTTTACCATTTTTCGACCCAACTTGTAAAAAATCCCTTAATGAGCATTTTTTCTGGTTGTTATTCTGATATTGATTCATTGCAGAAAAAAAAAACAATGATACAGTTGGATTTTAGGCTTACACTTCTATTTTATCTGTTCTAAGATCTTAAATTCAATTTAATGAAGCAACACCATAGCTGATAATTGGGAGTAATTTAAAATGAGCTGAGCCTCATAAATTGCACATAAGTGTGTGAGGTTGAAAAGGCTTTGCTTCATCAAATATGATGCATTTCAACTCAGCAAAGCTAAACGACACGGACACTTTATCTGATGGAGGTGTGACTTTTGACTCCAGTTTAATTCAGCTGTGGGAGTTTTAATTCACACCAAGCTCTTATTCCATCTTGGAGACTGTTAGCTGAGATTTCTCTCTCCCTCTGTCACCCCGCCTTCCTCGTTGTGCCTCACTCGAGACAAGGAAGGGTTTGCATCTCAGCTGCATCCAGGAAAACCTTTATTTACTATGTAATTGGCATTCAAAATATTTTTAAGTTTCAGTTATTCTGTGCCCTTCCTCTCCTAGGGTTGTAGTAACTGTTACATATTTGAGGATCGGGATCATTTTAATGATCGGAAGATGTTGCTTCAAAAGAAAAGAACATTTCCAAAGCATGGTGCTGCCCCCAAATTGTATCATTAAGCAAATTAATATGCTGACTGCGGTACATTACTACTATGCACAAGAAAATGAACTCTTAGTTTTACTTTTAAAGATTTATTTGCTTCACATGGGATGAAACACATGAAGTTGTATTTGTTGCAAGATTTGTTATAGTGCAAAAAGCTGAACTTTCACCTTGAGATAAGTTTGGATTTTATTTTATTTTATTTTTGAAAATTGTAAAAGGCGCTACAAAAGGGAAAGGCCAGCTCCAGCATGATGCTGCCATTACACAAAGAGTATGCAACCCTCAGAAAGTGAAGATGGTTTTATGACGCACATATATTGTTTTTGGTAGTTGTTTTTACATAAAAAATAGTCTTTATCAATGAAAAACAAATTAGCTATGTAGGAAAATAAAAAACTTCCTCTCAAATAAAAACCTTGTATCTCGGTATACGATTTATAAATTGTGTTGAATATTTAAAAATTATTAATTTCAAGTCTCTTTTGAGTTCCTCTCCTCAGGATCTAGTTTGTTTGGGTTATTTTGGGGATTTGATTCTAGTTGTGATTATTGCCATCAGGTGTTTCCTTATTTGATTAGTTAGTTTTTTTTATACTTAAGCTAGTTTATGTATTCACCGTCTCTAGTTTGTTCTTTGTTAATGATAGATTGATTTTCCCTGTTTACTCTCCTTTTACCCCCTGCTGCCATTTCCTCTCACACCTGCTAACAGTGAGCCAATCTGCCCCAGCTTATTGTTTCAGCTTCACATTCCCAGTATTTAAACTTTTGTCTTGCTCTCCTCAATTTCTGTTGTCAAACCGGTATTTTCCCTGCTCCTGCATCTCTGTGGAATCCAGCTTTTGTTCGTCTTTGATTGCCTTTAATTCCTCTTATTCTGGTCATTGCTTTTTTCATTAAATATCTATAAGATTAATTGTTGCCTCTGCCTCTCTGCATATGGATCCGCATAAAACTTCAGCATGAGACTTCTAACACATCGGAAGACATATATTTTCAATTATAGATCTCCTCTATCACCAAAGTACTGATGCTGCAACTTTAATTTCAAAACAATTTGCTCAAACAAGAGGTTGGTTGACATGCAGCACATGCAGCTGCATGTCAACCAAACTTTTAAAGCTCGTGTTCTAAGCTTACGGTCTGACAGATTCCTAATGATACTAAACAGGCGAGACCCAATGCCTTAAAAAGCTTTACTTTCTAAACAAATCGTTCCCCCCAATAAAACAAAACTGCACCTCTCAGAGTGGTGTTATATCATGAGCAATTTAAGGCACACCTGTGCACTAATCATGGTGTCTAATCAGCATCTTGATATGGTACACCTGTGAGGTGGGATGGATTATTTCACCAAAACAGAAGTGCTCACTATCACAGATTTAGACTGGGTTGTGAACAATATTTGATAGAAATGGTTATGTAGTGCATGTGGAAAAAAGTTTTAGGTCTTTGAGTTCATCTCAATAAAAATAGAAGAAATACAAAATGTGTTGAGTTTATATTTTTGTTGAGTGTAGAAAGAAACCATACAGCATATGTATGAGACATTAACATTCCAGATGCAAAATAACAATTTATATGCAATCTGAACATTTTTCTAGACCCTATAAATTTGTAGCATTGGTGTAGCATGATGCTACCACCACCATGTTCCACAGGGGGAATAAAAATTGATTAAAAATGGAGATTTTGATTAAAGCAATATTTGAAATATGAGCTTGACTTCTTAGATTGATTCATTTTTTCATGAAAAGAAACACTTATAAAACTATTGCAAATGAGCCAGGATGGTCTCCTTAAATCTAACCATACTTAAGTTGATGGTATAAGGTTCTTTTTGACTGAATTATAAGAATGAACTTAGCATAAAAGTGTTTATAATGATAGATCTAAAGATAAATGTTTAAGGCTAATGCAGGTACAGATTATTTTGACATCAGTCAAACCAAAACCCAATATTACTGCAGATTTATTTTTATTTTGAGCCGATTCTTTCGCCCAGTCTTCCTCTATTGAAATTCTAAAGATGACAAAATGTTTCAATTAAAACAACAGTAAAATGACATTTAACAATATATCATTAACAATGGACAACAAATGCCTTATGTGATCCCAAAGCATGGCTAGTGAATGCACCAACGAATTGGTAAATGCATCAACGTATCGGCCAATACCAACACAAGAAATAGAAGAAAAAAAGGCCGATATCGACCACAAATATCATCCACTAGTTTCTGTTTAGTCTGCAGAAAAAAATGGTTTTAAAAACCAAATTAGGACCTTTCTTTTTAGGGCTTATTCACAAAAGTAATGAAAAAAATACTTCTGAAAACTGAAGTTACTAAACAGAAGCTCTCTTATTATTCTGACCATCAACCAATCAGACGTAGAAAAATGTGTCTTCGGTAGATCAGCATAGCAGAGCTGCTACCATTTCACCATGTCAGATACTGGATAATTTCAATGTGGCGAGAATAGAAATATTTGAATTTGGCTTTGGCCGAAAGAAATCAAGATTGGCAGGACACTGCGATCTCTAGCACAAGCAAACAGGCTACTTCTCTTGGTGGAGATCTCTTAACAGGAAAAGAAAAGAGAACCAGACAGGCACTGAGCTGTGGGTAAGAGCAGTGAAACAGCTCAACCAAACACATACAGCACAGGAAGAAACATAGGTAAAGTCTAGTCAGAAAGCAAAACTGTGTGCAGGCAGAAATGCAAAAAATGAACATAAGACATGAGACACATGCGGATTATTGGGGAGCAGCTGCGAGTGGGAGGACTCTGGACAAGAAAACATGTCCTTTAACTATTTGACGAGCAGATCTTTGTAAAGGACGCCCCTGCTGACACACAGTGCAGTCCTACTTTTGTCGGCTGCATGTTGCACAATCTTTCAGGACATTATTTCAGCTCCCTGTCACAAGGGCACTTTTATATGTTGAGACATTTGAAATTAAGGGTGTTTAAATTTTGTGCTATAAGGTACTCCAGTGTGACTCGGTGCAACTCCATGCCAAACCTTGGTTTACAATTTCTGTGTATCTTTGTACATACCAGCTTTATTAGCCTGTAAATATATGCACTGTGAATTAAAGATTATTAAAAGAAAATCTGTTATAAAATAAATAAAGTAGGCAACATTAACCCATTAAAAAAATTAGTAATAATGCAACGGTCACACTTCTTCAATGCCCAAATTTTAGTTCATATTTGGGCCATGGAACAGAGAAAACACACAATAAATCAAAGGCAAACACCTAATACTTAGTGGATGATTTTCTCATTTTTCTTTAATATGAAACTCTCCACTGACAATGAAGAGGAAACAATGTGTTTAAAAGCCCAGCAATTTCCATGGCAGTAACCAGGTAGAGTTTGATTGGTTGATCCCTAAAGACCAGACCAGAGAGCTTTTATCTGATTAGCTGACAGGAAATCAGATTTATGGACAAAACTGAACTATCATGACAGTTAAAACCCACATGAGACAGAGAAACTCCTCTGACTGCAGCCTTAGGTTCAGAAATCATAAAACATTAGGCGTCATCACTTGTTTCTTGAATTGTTCCCTTTCAAGCTCTAAGAGCCACGACCAAAAATTTACAGCAGCATCCAAAGTCTGTATGTGTTTATCAGATACAGACACAATCACAGCTTCATTTCCTCAGATGAGCGCCACCCAGCAGTAATTTAATCAGACGAAATATTGAAAAAAAGGGATGAAAAACAAACCAGCATGCAACCAGTCAGGCACAAGCACGGTGATTGGGTCCCATTGTGCTGCAGTAATTGCATGTACATTTTCCACACTGAAACCTTCCAGTACCATCTGTGCCATTTGTAGAGATCAATGCAGCAATTACTAGCATTTTTTTCACCGCCATGTCAAATGCGCTCATCACAGAAGGAAGCAAAACCCGATAATTAACACAACGGTAAAATCCCACTTTTTATATAGTGTAGGTCATACTTACACTACATATAAAGTTTGCATGCTCATGTTAGCAAGGTTATGATTTAAGAAATATTAAACAAACTTCAGTGTGACTTA